AGAACCTGATTTAGTGTTCTCAGAAAATCTGAAGTAGGAAAAACAGCTAACCCAAATCACATGAAAATCGCTGTACATCTTATTACTCCTTTCTGACACCACAAATCTGTTTGTAGTTACAGCACCCTTCTGCTATTTTAACATAGTCTCCTTCCCCTAGTGAACTGCAGACAACCCAAATCTGTAAAGTGGAATTTTGTAGGTTTTGCGGGGTTTTTGGGGTGGGTTTTTTTTTTTCTTTTCTTTAATAAGTAGTCCTTATTATGGCATATTTTTCCTTTCTATTAAAAACAGGTTTGGGTTGTTGGGTTTTTTCTCTCCCTTACTACTGATACCTGGAGAAAAAATTGATCTGTATTTCCTAACAGAAAGGTGGCATCTAAGTGACTCCTTTTATCCTTATCTACTAAACCATTCTATAAATTAATAGATATTCCCCGTCTAAACTACACATACAACCCTTAACATCAGCAAATTCCTCCTGCACAGGCCTGCAACTCCACACATAATAAGCTGCCTACAACATTAGTGTTTTTAAAGTGCGAAGCTATAAATATGTATGATTCCTTTCCAGAGAATAAACCAAGTGTAGCTTAAGTTTGCTTCAATTTTTCCAGACACTCAAAGCTCGACTGGGGATACAAAATAAAAGCATGTTTAGGACTTTATTTAGTAAGATCAGCACATCAAAACCCCACTAAGAAAGAGTTTCTATCTGTACGATAAAGTCAAGAAACCTTCACCACTGCTGTCTGAAAATCCAAACAAATCACGAACAGGCATGCAGTCATTCTGCAAAGCAAACTGCTACCCAGTCTTATTTTTCTTCTCAGCTTGTCTACCACTGCTACAAAAGAAACAACCAACACAGAAGCAGTAATGACTGGGAACACAGTAGAATCGCCCCTTTCTTGGCTCAGCCTTTGGAGAAGGCAAGGTCAGCCTTGCCACCCATTTCGACAATTATCTGTCAGAGCCCAGAACTAGTCCTGATGCTGCCTGCTGCCACCAGGTGACTTTCTGAGAAACTGCAGGGACAGTGCTACAACTGGCGTCACACTGAAGTTGCTGCCGGGGTCCTAATTCTTCTTTGCTCATTTTTAAAAAAAAAAAAAGAGATCATCAGCTAAGTAAGCAACACTTTAGATAAAAGTGGATAAGCATAACGTAACGCTACCCTCCTCCGCTAAAATCTCACCAACATGGAGGTGCAGTGTATTTCTGGCAAATTAGTTGGTGTCTTTGACTAGGTGACATTACATTCACCTGAGGTTAAGCATGAGCTAAAGGAGGACTAAGCACCAGCAAGCCTGATAAAACCGTTCAGTTTCCACACAGAAAGGCTAACTCACGATGAGCATCCACAAGATGTTTCACTATGACACGATTTTTAAATTCAAGGAGTGTTAAAACAACACTTAAGTCTCAGAAGAGAACCACCCTTCACCTCAGTGAACTTCAAAAACTGAGAAACAAAGTTCTTGCAGGATGTCCTACTGTGAAGGATAGAGCACATGGAGCTGTGCTCTGGTTCAAGAGAGGCTGTAAGCCTCTAAGGGCCTATTTTGTTAGTATTTTGTAGAATGCATTTCTCAAAACATATAGTTTTGTAATATTCATTTAGATAAAGCATAAAAACTTCAGATATTATACAGTAACAAAATCTAGACAGATATCTTCCCCGAATTCTTAGGCAATATTCAGAGGTTTTCAGTAAGACAATTTCAAACTTATCAAAAACACGACATAAAATGGCATAATACATGTACCTAGAATTACATTAATGAGATGCTTACATGTTTCCACCACAAAATGACTGCATGTATTTTCTCTGCTGATGTAATCTGTGAAAATTTATGACAAAATCAAAAATCTAACTATGATTTTTCCAAACACATTGTGATAGGGTACGGTGTCAAACCCAAACAAGCATAAAAACCAACATCTTACTTTGCCCAAAATACATGAAAATTTAAACCAACAGTATTTTTTTCCTGTTTGGCTGATGACTGATAACCAGACGCACAACATGTGCAATACACAAAGGAGCAGTAGTTCAGAGGGCTCTAAACCAACATACCAAAACTTTAAATTATTAGACTACTACTTAATAAAGTTAGGAGAAACACAACATACTTTATACAAAAACTCACAGTTTGGCCGTATTTTTAATGTTGGTTTACAGCCATCCAGTTCTCTGGTTACTCTTAGGCTACACATTTCACAGGTTCCTACATGCATCTTTCTAATCAGCTTTACTTTTTTCCCCTGACAGTTTGAAATGTGTGGTATGAACTTCTTGCTACTCACCCAGGTGGCATTCCCGGCATAACCGGAGGCATTCCAGGCATCATAGGTGGAACGCCTGCCATCAGTGGTGGTATTCCTTAAAAGAAGAATGTATTTTAAACAACTCTGACAACATACAGCTGCTAACAAATCTCCTCTAATAAATTTAGACTGGATATATGCTTGCAGGAAGGATTGCTTCTTAAAGTATCGCTGCTGAAAAACAACACAATATAAAAGTTTATCTGCAAATCTCACTTAAGATTCATTGTTCTCTGTCCTGCAAGACACTGGCATTTTCTCAGTAGTCTCCAAAGAACCTGCCATAGCGTTACAAAAAATGGTAACAAACCAGTTTTCATTCACTGATATCAACCAAAATTCTTTCCTCCATGTATCTGTGGCCTGTGTATAAACTGCCTGTTCTGTGTTAGCAGCCTCTAAGTATAGGCAGCCTTTCTCGTTACAAAATACTACAAACAATATAACTGGCAGACATGTAAAGTAGTGATCTGTCTTACTAACATTCCTTCAATGCAGATGCAAGCATTAAGTATCTTGATCTACTTCATAACGATAGTGCGCGGGCACACACACATAGAGCAGGAGAAGAAGATGAAGAAACTGCTTACACGGCCCTCACAAAACAATTTTGTGACCTCTAACACCCAATGGTAGACAGGACAGATGATTATTCCAGCATATAAGCAGCAATCTGCATTTCTACTCAGCTTCTCCAAACTAGCTTGAAGCAGCATCTCACCTGGAGGCATCCCTGGTGCCCCTGGCACAGGAGGCAGACCTGGTTGTGCCATTGGGGGAATGTACCCCTGCTGTGGCTGAACTTGCTGGGGTTGAAATGAAGTTGAAGCTGCAGATTCATCATCTTCATACTCATCAGAATCATCCTGCTGTTTCTTTTTCTGGCTCTCTGCTGAGAAGTACAGTGTATATGGTCAGACTGCAGGCAAGGTATATCCTATGAAATTTGTTTTATCAGGGGTGTTCTAGCAGGAACAAAAATACTAAGATTCAAACCTTATTTATGTGTTCAAAAATCCATTATAGAAAAACTGTGTGAGCCCACCTATATGCACAAATAACACAGGGAAGGAAACTAACACTACTGACCCTCAACATCGAGGCAGGGGGGAGCCTTCCTTCATGCCAGTCTCACGCTGTCCAGAATAAACCAAAGTGGTTCATACAAAAACAGACTTAAACAGCAAAGAAATCAAAGTATTTGGGCATGAACAGGCTTGTATCAACCCTGACCTCTGCCCCTCTCACCCTAAGAAAACAAAACCACTAACCCGCATACTTAAACAGCAAAGACATCAAAGTATTTGGGCATGATCAGGCTTGTATCACCCCTGACCTCTGCCCCTCTCGCCCTAAGAAAACAAAACCACTAACCCCACATTCATTAGTAAAAGTTGCAGCTGCACTGGCATAGAGCTACTTCTGAACAGAAGAAAAAACAGCTCTCAGCCTTCCACGTGACTGGGAAACGTCTAGCGCCACAGCTAAGGAATGCACTAAACCCCATCCCTACTCTGCGGAGAGGCCAGGCCCGTCTCACACCGCTTAGTATCAGTAAGAAACAGATGACCAGCTTGATTGCACTTTACCTTGAGTTTTTTGTTCAAGTAACCTCCTGCGCTCCTCCATATCTTTTTCTGGAATGCCTTCCATGCCATAGATTTCCAGTTCAATGTCTGTTCTTCCAGGAATAGCATTTGGAACTGCATCTATTGTTTCTTTATGTACCTAAAAGAAAAAAAGACAATAAGCCTCCTGACCACAATTCAGTTTAGATTCAACGTCTTCTTCAGCCAGTCTTGAGACAGAAAAGGAACATTCTTAATGTGTCCGGCCAAGCATTTTCTTGATACGTGCTCCCTAATCGTTATCAGCTACTATTAGCTGCTAAAACCAGTTTATATAAACTTGTCCTCTGAACACCGAGGCAGTGCAATTGCTTCACTCCTCCAACCCCAAAGCGATGGCAGAGATCTCTACTGCATGCTCCCCATACAGCTGCTGACACACCAGAATTCTTCTGGAAACAGACCATTGCTGTCTCTTTCTCCTCAGTTTTTAAGACTCTGGAAACCCCCAACCCCCCACCTTTTTAAGTTCACTATTAATTCCAATTTTAGATGCTGATAAAAAAAGCTTGTGTATGTCTAACACTTCTTACCTGCATGCAATGTATAGCTAAACCAGGTCCAGTATAGAGTTTCTTATGACATATATGGCATTTAAAGTGCTTTGCTTTTTGATGCTGTATAAGGATTTTTTCATCATCAAAATCCCTGTTACAGTACCTATTGAAGACTGTTAAGGAAACATTTAATCCTGGAAGTCACCTTCTGGTGTAACACTAAGCTAATCAGCATGATCGTGATTTTTCCTAAAGAGGGGAAAAAAAGCAGCACAGGAGCATCTCTGAGCATTCTAAGCATGACAAATATTTCATGGATGCCTGAAACCAAACCACCCCCTCACACCATCCAGCATTTCCCACTTCAGACAGGTACAAAACTGGCAAGATGTGTGCATGCAATCAGAATCATCATTTGATTCCACGTTCTTTGACACATGCCTGTCAAGCTCCAGTTATTTCTAAATGGATTCAGTTCTCCTCTGATGAAGTAATTAAATGATTAATTTCTCCTTCTGTCTAGATTAAAGTTACTAAAGCATTAAAGAAATGGACTTAAAATCTACGAAAGGGATGCGATGCTTACTAGAGTCTATTTAATAACAAGTATCACTAGGAACATCTACAGAAGAGTACAGTTTTAGTTAAAAATTCCTTTCTTTTTTAAGTCCTCCACGTATCAATTTTTATGTCATTGCATAATTTACTGCAGCCATTAAAAAAAATCTGGTTTTAAACAGAAATATTTTAAGCAAAGCTCTTTCAGGACACCTATGTGCCACAAGAGGTAAGCTACGATTTCCTTTCTGCAGGTCAGCAGCAATTCAAACACTCCAAATCCTCCTAAATGAGACAAATATACGTTTGTTATTTATTAGTTGTTCCTTGTTAACACAATGTACCACTCACTTCCGCCAAAACAAGAAATACATTAATACCGAAAAGAGAAGTATAGATTCCTTCCAACACAGAACAGTGAAATATCTCAGGGCAGCTTATAAATTTCTTTATTAAACAATTGTAGATGGGACAGAACCACTTTAGAGGAAAGCAAAACTGCAATCACCCCCCAACATCAATCGCATTGTGAAGGAGGGATCAAAGAATAATCCACCAGTACTGCTGGATACTGAGAATTGTGCAACTTTGACGCAGCAATTACAAAGGGGAAAGTCCCCCCACACGCACATCTGCCCCCTTTTTTCTTGATCAACTATTTATCAGAGGAAGGCTTTCTTCCGTTGACGTCCTACCCCGGGGCTAACGGCCGTTCTCCATTTTCCCCACGATCTCGGCAATCCCGCCGGGCCCGGCCACG